GAATAGTAAACGGTTCGCAACAGTAGTTAAAGTTAGAATTGCATGTCAAGGTCATGCAAACATTTAGCGATATGGAGCGTAACACAAGGCGCGCAGATGCGTAAATTTATTCTGATGAGATTAAAAACTTACACTCCGTTGTCAATAATGCCCTGTGTTTGTTGCACGTATTGTTCGGTGGCGCTTTCGTTCGAGTAAAGACCCATTGGGCTATTGTATTGCAAATGTTTCACTCGTGGATCGGTATTGAATGGAAGTGCAGCTGCGTTGAAACCTTGAGGTGGGCGAGACTGCAAAAATGTCGTTAAAAGTTTGCTTGAGCAACATTTGCTATACGAATAGCCTTGCCATCCTCGAAACACAGAAGAAAAACCCTAATTTGGAGTGGGTTAGCTTATGGTAGAAATAGAAACGTACACATATGCAATTATAATATGGTCTATGTACTGCTAATCCCCGCGAGGTGAACGGAATTTTGATGATTGGGAGAGCGCCAGGTTTTTTGCGCATCTTTTTATGTGGTGTTTTTGCTAAAGCTGCAAAAAACTTACATCACTGCTGTGCTCCAAAGAAACTCGGAAAGGGCGATCTTCTACGTAACGTTGATCGATGATGTCCGGTCGCCAAACTCGTGTCTGACCTGGTTGCCTGAAAAAGGACAAAGTAAGATAAAATGTGTAACAACAATGTTATTACATAATTTCAAGTAAGACTAGTTGTCCCTATCTTAAAAAAGAATGTAGCTATAAGTGAAAATCTTGATGACAAGACGATCTTAAATTTTCCTCGTTTATTTCCTCAGGTATGCCGTAACTTCTTACCTCATCGGAATTGCATAATGTTGTTTAGAAGAACAGTTTATGCTTTGCTTAGCGTATGGCATAGAAAGTACGGTACAAAACATGGATGACTTGCATAATGCGAATGTCAAAGATGGTCAGTTGAAATACAAATTTATGATAATGCACTCTAAACCTGATGGATATAATAGGAAGAAGTGGAAACTTTGCTGGTATTCCTCAGTTTGTGCTATCTCATAGTATATAAGCTTGCGTTCTTCCAACATTAGAAAGATGGCAGTAATCAAGTGATATTTTAAACTAACATTATCTTTGGAAGATTACCGAATGCTATACATAATTGTGATGCCATAGTTACCATTGCCGTCAACTGCAGGTATCATGGGAATGCTGCACTCAAGCATCGAACCCCTCTCTATGCG